CTCTAAGTGAGTCTTGGTACAATTGTATGTCCAAGAAGAGGAATCAAAGATTGAAGAAATGGTCAAATCAAGAAGTCAATCATACTTCGTTCCAAAACAAGTCTTAAAGTCAAGATTGTGACATTGAGTGAATAGTATTAAGAAGGTTTATAACATTCATCAATTGTGGAAAGTTGTGATGTCTTGGATAAGACAAAGACCAACTAAGACCAAAATTATGAAGTGTTTTGTTTTGATAAAAGCTACACTAACTCTTGAATATTTGTTGTCAAAAATGTTTATTGACAAGAGAATCTTATATGTCAAGGAGTCAGTGGGAGTCTTAATAGTCTTGAAAAGTTTCAAGAACAAATCAAATAAACCTTATCGATATCACTAGCACACGAGTTGAGGTTTACAACCTATCGTGAAGACATTATTTTGTTTCTGTGCCAATCCAATCGAGTTAATTATGCATGTGAGTCCTATGAGTTCTCATTTGAATGCATAAAAGGCAAGGACCTTGATCAATGGAAAGTACATTGATAGGAAAAGGTGAGCTGCTTAACTACTTGGAAGACGTGGTGGGCAGCTGTGCTACCATAAGGCAAGAAATCAAGATTAAGAAAGTTCGATCCATATGAGTTTGAATTTGTCGTAAACTTTGGTTTTAACAAATTCACATGGATAGGAACACATACACCTTTAAATCTAAGTGTCATAAGATTTCCTCCTTCATGAAAATGATTGTGAGAAAATGCTTTCACTAAGAAAGATTTTAAAAGATAGTGATTGTAAAATTGCATTCTCGAATTCGATCATGGTTACGGCATCCCTTTCCATAATTTGAATTGTGAGGTTTGGCAATTAGTCTTAATTGTTAAGACACACATATGAACTATCTAAGGCAAAAGTGTATAAGTTCAAGAAGCCTTGATAAAAGATTATCAAAGCACTAAGTATTAGAAACATGAACTTAAGAAATTCAATAAGTATTGTTTTTCTGAAAGTTAAGATGTTTATAATACATGTCGAAGCTAGTGGGAGCATAAGTGTTATGTTTTATAATAATCATCATGATAGTGGGAGCATAAATGTTATGATTGTATGATTATTAAGGCACGTATTGCATAGTTGGCAATATTAATTATAGAAAAACAAGAGTTATACCTTGCAAAGTCGTAAGGGTTGTATAGTTGTTTTGCTATAATTAAGGGAGAGAATATTATGCTTCATTTCAAATCTAAAGGATTAGATTGTGGAATATTAAGGTACATAGTGTGTTCTTAAAATTTCGATTATGATTACGGCATTCCTCTTCACAATTCGAATTTTGAGAACATAGAAAATAAAACATTATGTCGTGTCCCATACGCTTCGGGTATAGGATCGATTGCAAATGCTTTAATGTTTGACCATTCTAAAATTTTCCAAATGTCTAGCGCATTTAGAGGGAAAAGGGACTAGAATCGGTTTTGACTAAAATAATTAAACAACTATCAAAGGACAATCCAAAGTTCGACGAGGATTGGTCGCTTGTGAGTAGTTGGAAGTATAGTATTGGAAATTATGGAAATGTTTCCATATTGGATGGACAATATCGACATCATTACGAATAGATAAGATTCTATTAAGAAATTAGTTGTCATATGGAAAATATGGAAGCGTGTCCATATTGGGAAGTAAATATTGAAAATCTATGACTAGATTAGAAACTTTATGCAAAAGGATGTTCAAAGGAATGTACTTGAGTGAGAGACATCATATCTAAGGAATTGTCTTGTAACAATCTACGTTAGAGGACTTTGTAATATCATTGGCAATAGTCTTTGAGACTTTGGTGCAGTGACATTACAAAAGGATCGTTGCATAAAGTGTTAGAATCTAGTATATTCTATAAGTAACAAGAATTTGATATTCTTACACTTAAGAAAATGGATTTGGAGTTGTAAAATGAGAATGATTGGAAATGTGTTCAATTTGTCTATTTCACAAAAGTAAGAACCATAGGTAAACATTGTGTGCATGCTAGGAGCATGGGACAAGTGTTAATTCAAGTAAGAAGTTGATTACCCGAAACGACAAATAATGAGTAATCGATATGGTGATAAATAAAACGTGTTTTGTTTATACTCAAAGGTTTGAGGCCATATGGGATTAGTATTATTCTTGTGTTTCACCTTGCATGTTTTGACTTCCAGAATAATTGAGTTTATTAAGAATAATCGAATTATTCAAACGGGCCACAGTCGTTCATATGTTGGAAGTAGATATGAATGAAGACTGTCGTGAATTGGTGTGTGGATTGTCTAAAAGAGTATTAGACATAAGCAAATGTTTGCTGCAACGTTCATGAGTGCTTATGAATATGATTTGAGCATTGGATTAAACCCACGCTCACTTGGATCACTATCTCGAGTGATTAGTGAGACGATAACATCTTATATTCTTGAAACCGAGATGTGTGAGTTGTATCTTGCGAATCGGTTGCACATTGATAATATGTAAACGCACCAGTAACTTGGTGTTATAAAACATATTGTTGTGTGTAAATTCGGTGAGTGAGTGCAAGCAAGCATTGTATCAAAGTTTATCCGTTCCTTTTATTCAAAGAATAAAAGCGATATCTTTGGGCCCCTCGATGGTTTAGTGATGACATACGTAAATGCTCGGCCGGGCTAGGGCTAATTTGATTTGTTCAATTAGTCTGTCGTCATAAATCAGAAATCGAGATATAGTACAAAGAGAATGATTAGAAATCATACGATATCTAGAATGGAGGAATATATGATCCCTTATCTAAGGACACGCGTATCTGATATGATCAGAGTTGACAGCGGCTTTGGAAAGCTACGATTGCAGATCAGGATCTGAAGTCATATGCAGAATAGTTGTTAGACTTATCCAAGTGGGAGACTGTTGGATTAGTGTCTAAGTCCATAACTATTTTGGTATGTACTTGACCCGATGGTGCATGGTCCTTTTGGGTTGCCTTCACCAAAGCAACTTGATAGGATGAATTATGGAGAGTAAGGATTAAATATGATTTATTAATGTATTATGAGAATAATATATTAAAGGAGAAATCATATTGTTTAATTAATATTAGTCAATAATTAATTGGTAATTAGTTTTGTGACTAAAAGAGATTAATTAAACTTAAGGGCCTGGAATTGTAATTATAGGATAATTGCAATTAGGGCCATGGATTGCCTTGTATCAAGGGTTGGACGAATTCTATGGGGAAGCCCATAAGGAAATCGTCCAAGGGCTTGATTAAAAGGAGTCTATGAGTTGCTTAAAGGCTTAAGCATCCAAATTAGGGTTTCCTTGTTAGATAACCCTAATAGCCCAACTATATAAAGACCCCTTAAGGCTCAAAAACGTGGCTAATGATCTTGCTAGGGTTTCTACACATTTTGGTAGCCTCCATCCTCTCTCATCTTCATCCTCTTGCTTATGGTGTTTGTGAACCATTAGAGGAGTGACACTTGTGACTCTAAGCCTTCCAAAGTCAATTCAAGGAGGAATTGGGATTGTTATTGCTACATAACAATCAAGGTATGATCTTAAACCTAATTACATATTAATATGATTACTTGTATGCTAGAATTAGGGTTTATAGTCTTGGATTCAAAGCATGTACAATAGAGAAACCTAGATCCAAGCATTAGGGTTTGTATGAGCACATAGGATGTCTTATGACCAAAACCCATCAATGATATGCTAATGTTGATATTGCTATGTGGATTGTATGTGTATCAGTATTTTGGGGGTAACTCACTAAGCTTTTGGGCTTACCGTTTCAGTTTATTGTTTCAGGTACACCAGGGGATCGCGACAAGGCAAAGGCGTAATCGTACAGCTCCTCCTGTTATGATATGTTTCTGGGAAATACTCTTTTAATTAATAGTTTTAAAACAAAGTTGTAATGTTTTGATGAACTTGACATGTTTTAAAAAGTTTAAATTGGTTTGAAATTTCGGGTGTTACAGAAACAATGTCTAATTTTCTTCTTTGGCCATGTCTGGTCGTTTTCAAATCTGAGGGTGTTGTCCGGGTTAAACACTATGTTCTTTTTGTTTCTTGTATGTTAAGTTTGCTTTTAGTGATTGCATTTCTTCCCCCCTTTTTTCGTCTTAGATGGTTTGTATTGGCCAGCCTTGGTTTGGATTCTCTCACCAGATGTTAGTGTTGGCCTTTGGGGGTCTTGCTAATGTTTATAGTTTGTTTAACAAGTTTTGGGGGGCCTAGGGAGTCTGTTTTGATGGGCTTGGCGCTCGCCCTTAGGTTGGTTTCTATGGGTCGAGGCTTTAGCTAGCTTGTAGTATTGAACTTTGGTTGGTCCGTTCTGTTATGGTTTCTTTCTTAGCTAATGGCCTTTCACTTTCGAGTGTTGCTTTAAGCGTTGGGTCGAGGGGAGTTGTACTCCGGCTGTAATCATCTAAGCAAGATCGATATCGTCACCTCGAGGTCTAAAAGCTTAGGCATTATGCATTTCAAAGGAAAGGTTATGATCCTTTAAGGCCTCTTACTTGTCGTGATCAGGAGTTGTAGCTCTCCTGACCTTGTCGACATGTTTATTAGGGAGAAGTGATGATCCCTTGAGGCCTATGATTGTATTTTTCTCATTGGTTTTGGGTTGGGTGGTACAGGTGATCAGCTTGTTTTTATTTTCCATTTGTAAGAAAGTATGTCGATACTCGTTCGCTACAAATTTTCTTTTCATTGCATTTTTTTGGTGCCTTGGAGGCATCTACATTGTTATATAAGTATCGGGAGTCCAACAGTTTTTGCTATTCTAGGTCTAGCTCTTGGACTGACTATTTGGAGCATGATTATCCATTAGGAGTTTGATCACTTGGCCCCTTCCCTTGATTCCCCTCGAGTTAAGACTATTGGCTTGGGCTCTGGGGTTGCCAGGTCGTTGGGACGAATTCTTCTTCTTGGTCTTCCTTGGTTTGTGTTCTTTGGTGGCTTGTGTTAGTGAGCTTTCCAACGTTCGTGCTCGTATGCGACCCTTAATTGGTTGTTTCTGGGATGGTCGTCTTTCGAAAGATGACTTTCAATTTCCTCCATTCTCCAGCTTTGGTCGCCTGTTCATCACCTTTGGGCGGTTTTATCTCCTTCTGCGTGACTCTTTCGTTGCTAGCTCTGTTTTTTGCAATGTTATTGACTAGGTGCCGTCCTGGGGGAAGCCTCTTCCAGTTGCAGACTCTTATGCTTGTAGTGGGTCTCATGTCCGTGTAATCTTTGTTGGGGTAATTGCCTATCCTCTCTGTTCCAGTGCAGGGATTTCCTTGCTTCTGTTTCCAGTCGAGCTCCATTACTTCGCACGCGTGTTCCTTCGTTTCCTTCTTTTCCATGATCTGTGTCCTATGTGCAAAGGCGTGAGGTACGCTCAGTGAAGTCCAACCTCTCTTGGTGTTCATGATGACAATCCTTGATGTTTCTGGAGTGGTAAGTTGTTGCTATCGTGCCCCCCTCCCCCCTCTCGGTTGTTCGTTTGGGGTTGGCAGCATTTCCTTTTGTCTTCGGTGTGGATACTTGTTTTTTTGCGCTTAATCATATGAGTGCTAATTATTGTTGTATGCTGCTTTCTTGGGATGTGCGCATTAGACCAAGTGGCGATCGCTCGAAGTGGTTTTGTGTGTGTACTTAGGGATGTTACTGTCACTGAGCCGTTGGATGTTCTGAACTTTATTGTATCGTGTATTATTAACGGGATGGCTTGTAGCTGGAAGAGAGCAGGTCACCCTAGGATCATATCTTCTTCTGACTTATATTTAACTACCGAGAACTCGATTATCCTCGTTACCCTTTCCTTTCCATCATGGATAAGTAGTGTCAACGAGAGGTTTATGGTCCTAAGTGGCCATAGATTGAGTCATGTGAAGCCAACGAGTGGGGGATCAGGTTGGTGGTCTTAGGCTTCTCTTCCAAGATGGAAGGAGTCGTTCAAAATAGTGCTCGTAGAGGACGTCGGTGTTGCTATCTCCATCGAACAGGGCTTACCAAATCTAATGTTGTTATACTAAGGTTGGGGTTATAATTGGATCTATAGGGTCCTAGTTGGGCGCTCATGGGTCTTCCGATGAGAAACTTATGTTGAGAGTATCATCGGGTAAACCGTCGACGCCTGGCTCTGTTCTCGAAGCTTGAAATTGCGAAGATTTCCTCCTTTTTGATTGGTTGTTTATTTGCCTCCTTCCGTGTTCTCCCGTCTTTCCGTTCAAATTCTAACTTTGATCGTAGAGTCCTTCCGTGTCCTCCTTTTTGAGGATCGCACACTCTTCAGTGTCGTGAGTTTTGCTCTTGTGGTATTCACAATATTTTCTTTTTTCCAGTCCGCTGAGGGGTTTTTTCTACCGCATATACTTCCATATTATGGTTCCTGTGCTCATCCTTGACGAATGGGCAGAATCTATGAGATGAGTATCTCGAATGTTTGTTATGTTTATCATGGATTCCATCGTTGCACTCCTTGTGGCTATAGCGGTAGTAGGAGCCGACTGATTCTTGTCTGAGGTAGGCGTTCGCTATGGATTTTAGGTTGGCTTGTTTGTGTTCTTCTCCCTCGATCTGTTTGAGGTATTTTCGACCCTGTATTTAAGGTCGTCCCTAGATTTTGGCACTGTTCCTTGCATTTTCCTTGACAGGGGGCTTGGGAGTAGCCTTTGGGAGAAGGCACCCGTGACTAGAAATTCTTCGTGGATGGGAACGCTCAGGGTCGCTAGGATAAACCGATCATAGTATGCTCTGATGGGTTCTCTCTGTTTTGATTGCATGATATGATGGAGTTGGCATCTCCTTTGACTTTCCTTAATTGCATGAAGTTGTGGAGGAAAGGGTACCTCAACTGTTTGAAGCTGGAGATACTTCCAGGATGTAGTGCCTTGAACCTTTTGCTAGCATTTCCCGATAACGTAATTGGGAATTAGGTGCATATGAATCTCTTGTCCATCCGAAGGGATGTCATTGTCCACTCATAAGTGTCTATGTGTTCGTAAGGATCTGTCGTACCGTCATACTTTGGGATCTTTGGTATCATGGCGGAATGTGGTATTTCATACTGTAATAGCTCTTGACCAAACGTCAAGCTGATACTCGTTACGGAGGTGTTCATATGTGGGTAGTTGGGTGCTCCACTAGCTATCGCTTGTTGTATGTGGTATGGGTTGTTGTACTCTTGGTCGTACTCGTGATGGTACCCATGGTTGTACATTGTCACTTGATACATATACGATGCCTAGTCCCGACATGTCACGCCGATGGTTGTGGTCGATCTGTTGTTTGTTGTAATTAGGTGGTCGACGCTCTTTGAGGTGTTGTGGTGGTAGTCATGGCTGGATGTTCCGTTGCAACGGGCGACAGTCGCCATAGACTAGCAATGAACTCCGCTGTGGAGTCGAACAATTGTGTCGTCGGTGTCTATGTGGGTGGCTGCCCTTCCAATGTCGACGATCCGCTTCCGTCGAGGGACTGCATTGGTCTAACCGGTCTATTATCGTCACATTCCTACCGTATCGGTCCTTGATCCATCATTTCCGGCGCCTGATGTTGCGAAATGGATTGTGTCATACTGGGTGCACGTACGGATGGTGCCAACTGTTGTGATAAGTCTCCGACTTGACTCTGTCTCCTTGAAGAATGGAACGAAGGACCTAAGAATCACAACAAAGGAAAACCATATCGTTAGTCGTCGTCCGGGAGGCAGTCCCGGAACAAGGCTCCAACGATCAAGTTAGTTGATTTCTTAGAAGGTGATGGGAAAAGGGTTAAAGTGAAAGGATTGTGTTTTTTTATCCCTTCTCTTAGAGGAGATTGGACCTTTTTATACCTGTGGTCAGGGGGACAGATCCCCGACATCCGACAATATCTTCTACCTTTTCCGATTTGGCAAGGGCAGGTGGCCTTTGATTGGTAGATCATGCTCCATGCGTGGCTGTTTGCTATTAGTGCAGGTTCGCCAAGAGCGGTGCCCTAAGCGCTACATATGTCGCTTTAGGAGGCAATTGGTACTATTTTGTCCTGATGTTGACCTTGGCGCTTAGGCGCCAAGGAACGAGTACGAGATCTTGAGGACGAGGACGTGACATTAGACATACGATATCATTTTCCCAGACCGTCTACTAGGCTGATGGTTCTGTTACTTTCGACGTATTCCTGGTGGGATACGTCATCAGTCACCGACGTTAGCCTTTTCATGTATAATTAATATATTTTTCAAATGGTATTTGACCTAACAGTAAAGAGTGAATCTATCAAATAAAATGTCACCGATTTAATTGTTGTTAAGAGACTTCTAGTATTTAAGAGTAGGTTAGATTCTTTGTTTAAAAAAATTGATATACTTTTTTCAATAATGACATTTAAAAGGTGTCTAAAATGTAATAAATTAATATATTATATACTTTTTTTCAAGCAAATTAGTGGATGGAAATATATATTTTTTTTCAAACAAACAAGTCAATTGAAATATATTTTAATGGAAAATTAAATTGAATAAAATTGTGATTTTAATTTTAAAATCAATTAAAAAAATGTTTTTAAATAAGAAATACAAGATTTTTAGTGGGTTTTACGTAGAAAAGTCTCATTACTTTGATTTTTTTTTAATAAGTCATAATTTTTTTTAACAGAAATATCTCGATTATTTAACATTTTGCCAAAATAAACGAACAAATGTTCTTTTTTATTTTAACAGGAAATGACAGATTAAATCATTATCAAAAAATAATAGGATATTTTTGTTAAAAAAAAAAAACATTTATGATTTTATCAAAAAATTTCTCAAAATAATAAGATTTGTCTAAATAAAATCTATTTTTTAATCATAAAATAAAGCTGTTTTATTTTCACGATTAAAAATTGTTATAGAAAAACCGACTAATGAAGACCCCATTTGCAATCTTTACTTTTCATGTATTTATTATGTAACATTATTCAAAACATTTGATCATCAAGACTACGACCGGCAGTGTCTAGAAACTTTATCTATCATTGGAGGTGAGAATTTCATGTTGATTAATAACCATTTTCTATATGGGGTTGGCTAAAAAAACATCCTATTTTACCATTTGGACAACCCTAATTAATGTTTGAAATATTTTTATTGGTTGAAATTGTATTGTTTTTCGAAAAAGATGATTACAAGTAGTTGATTATAGGTTGACTTTTTATAAAAATTATTATAGGGTGTTTAAGGGGTATCTTATTAACAGCACCCTATATGGATCCTATATGGATGGAGTCTAAAGTTAGACTAAGTCCAAATCAACGTAACATAGTTTTTTTTTTTTTTTTTTTGGTAAAATTAGGAAATTGTTGTCTATCTATAAGGGTGTATTTGATTTGACTCTAACTTTATTTTTGAGTTTTTTTTTTTTAAAATAAGGAAAGGGGGGAAAGGAAAGAAATATGTGTGTTTTTTTAAGGAGGGGATAGAGGTGTTCTCATTTAAGAAAGGAAAAGAAAATAAATTGAGGGATTGGGAAGAGAAGAAAAGACTTTTTTTTCTAAGAGAGGAAAAAGTTCATCTCCCTTTCCTATCGCGTAAAAAACTAATTCACGTCTAAAGATGAACTGAGTCCAAATCAATATAACATATTTATATATTTTTTTGATAGAATTAACGTAGTCGTTGTCTAGTATCTGATTTGGTGGATCGGATCTAGTGGGTCCACAATTCTCTAAAACTGAATCGGGTTTAAAGTTGGATCGGGTCCAAAATTTCCATGTGTATTATATACCTTCTAAATGGACTCAGGTCCATGGAATTCCATGATTCGGTCCGCTAGCAAATGTGGAAGGACCCGAACAAAATCAATCATCTCATTTGCCCTAAACATCGCAGGAACAGGACCTCCGACTCACGTTCGTCTTCCTCAGGTGCGACTCCATTTTATCGTTTTTTCTGAACACTTTTTGTGCGATTGAACATGATTTTGTACGATTTCTTCAAGCTCTCTTTCTCGTTTTCTTCAAGCTTTCTTTCTACCGAATGAGGTTCAATTTGTGTGTATTTCTGTTAAAACAGATGTGCGGATGTGTGTATATTTGTGTGTATTCGAAATCAGTTCCACATGATAAATGCTTGTTGAAAACAGAGTTGCTACATATTTTCTGTTAAAAACAGATGTGTGTATATCTGTGTGTAATCGAAATCATCCCCTTATGTGTGTATGTTTGTTTCTTGATCTTGCTCTACAAGTAAATATGTAACATTTTTATCATTTCTTTATTCCTTAGACATGGAAGAAAAGAAAAGTTGAGCTACTTGGTCCTACGATTCGTTTAAAATGTAATTATTTAAACCAATCTGATAAATTGGTTAACTTTGTGTTTGGGGTTTTATTAGGTATTAGTTTTGGAGAAGAAGATCGACTAAAGATATATAATTCAGAAAGATGCGATTACTTACTCATGCAATTTCCCAACTCTCTACAAATTCAAGAGCCACACTGTTAAAAAGCATCACAAATTCATTAGCTTATAGTTTCAGTTTAAGCAATCGTTTTCTTTCAACTAATAAAGGAAACGAAGGTGATATTGATTGGGGCTCTGCATCAACTTGGTCAAGCGGGCTCACTAAAGAGCATTTTGATGGGGAGGTTGTAGGCCACAAAGTAGGCGGCGGTGGCGGTGGTGGTGGTGGTGGTGGTGGAGGAGGTGTATTAGGGTCATCTCAACTTGTACCTAGAAATTGGAATGATGATGATGATGAAATGGAAAAGATAAGGAAAATGGCAGCTGAAGCTTCTAGAAAAGATGGTGAGTTTGCAAGTAAATGGAAGGAAAGGATGCGTGAAACAAGTTTGTTAATGAAACAGGTGATTGAGCCAGGGGCAAGAGGGTCATATTTGAAAGATTCAGAAAAAGCTGAAATGTATCGGCTTCATAAGGAGAATCCAGAAGTTTACACTTTTGAGAAATTAGCAAAAGATTACAGAATCATGAGACAAAGGGTTCATGCTATTTTATGGTTGAAGGAAGATGAAGAGAAAATGGAGAAAAAACTTGGACACCCTCTTGATGATTCTGTCGAACAGTTGCTTGATAATTTCCCCGAGTGAGTGAGTCATATTAATTATTTCGTCAAAAGACCATAATACCCTTATGAATGATTGTTTTTTTTTTTTTTTTGTTCAGATTCTTTGATTGGCATGATAGGGAATTTCATGTTGCGACTTTACCATATAAGCCAGATTTTAAAGTGATGCCGGAGGGTTGGGATGGAAGCATTAAGGATCCGGATGAGGTGTTGTATGAGATTTCAATGAAAGAGGATGAAATATTATATCAGGAATTTCTTGAGAAATTCAACTTTAACAAGATGAAAGTAAGTAATTTTTTTTTTAATTTTATTATTGTTATTAGGACATTATATTATGGTTTTTTTTTATGACATGACAGATTGAGGGGAAAGTGAAAGTGCACAAGTATAGCAGGAGGCGACCAACAGAGGGATGGGAGATTACAGTTGAGAAGATGGGGCCACGTGGCAAACGGGGGGATGGGGGTGGTTGGAAGTTCAAGAGCTTGGCTGATGGGTCCACAAGACCACTTAATGATTATGAGAAAATGTTTGTAAAACGAGAGAAACCTCGCAGGCGACGCAAGATTCTACACCCAAAATAAATTTAATTCTCAGATATTTAGGATTTTTGTTTGTGTCAAATGTAGTGCAACCATTGTTTTTTTTTTTTTTTTTTTTTTTTGTTACTACTATATAAATGGTATATGCCAAAGCCAAAAACATTTGAGCACGAGGGTGTATATGTCATCATCATGCAAAAAAAATTGAAATGAAAGAGTTCGTTTCTGCAATTGATCAGAATGTGCGGAAATTCAGAATTTTCGAAATCATCCAATTACTTTATCTTCTGCAAAAATTCATAACTTTAGTATTCTCAAAGGGTGATCGTATACCTATCTCATTTACTCACACATACACTTAATCTCTCATTTACTCACACACATACACTTAATCACATGTGGAAATTTCAAATTATCAAATACTATTATGCTGGAGGGAATGGGACTTGCCACTAGCTCGCTATAAATGACAAACCCACTCCCAACAACTGATTCCATAAGATGAGCTAGTTTGGTAAAAGTTTGGGTTGACATTTCTGAGGATTCGAAGACGGAAAATACACAATCGATAGATCATTTTTTATTTCACATTTTAGAACGGTTTCGGGAGAAGCTAGGAAAACATAACGACTACCATACGAAACATGAATTCGAAGTTTCGAGAAATAGCAAATGGGGTTTAAAAAATAAACAGGTTGTACAAGAACCTAAAAATCCAACGAAAAAGTGGCCAAGGCGACAAAGAAATACTTCAAGAAGCTTTGCAATTTTACCTTGAGGAAGTCAGATAACCATTCAAGTGGCACGATTGTTGGAAATTGTTGATTAGAAATCATAGTTGGAAAAAATACGAGCGAGATTTTATTTTTGGAGTACAACAATCAAAGCGAATGAAAAAGGGCTCTAGTGGTTACACAACTTCCTCCGATGCTCGGGTCGGTCTAGATTTAAATAAGAATGACGAACTCAAGCTAGAAGAAATTGTTTGACCGATGGGTAGGGACAAAGCAAAGAGGAAGGGAAAAGAACTCCTTCGGGTGCATCGGATTTCAACATGGACCTTGACAAAATGCGGAAAATAACAGCGTCGTTTGATCGATATAATCTTAATTTCGTTGAACGTTTGGCGTTCGACAAAGAAAAAGAAGAAGCAAGGAAGAATGAGCGTACAGAGAGACAAGAAACGGAGGATATGAAGTTTTTGATGGAAAACACCGATCACCTCTAGAGACCTGCTCTCAAGCTCGTGATGAAGAAGAAGGAAAAAATATGAAAAAATATTTTTCATATGTTGTTGTTGGTTTGTTTGTTTTTTTGTTTATGTTTTTTTTAATATTCTAGTTTTTTAAATATTAGGTTTATTGTGATTTTTATTTTAATTAATGAAATGCATTTTCTTTTTAATTAAATTTTTGTTTATTATTAATTTAAAATTTGTAAATCATAAAAAATAATTAATTTTATTTAAAAGAAAAAACAAATAGTGAGAATTTTCTCACCCATTCCTTAGGTTTAGGTGAGAGAAAAAAAAAGTAAAAAAGTGTGTTGTGGCCCACAAAACCTGAGAGGGTTTCGAACTCACACCCTCGTGTCATATAGCCTTTACAAACACATTTGAGATCACAATGTATGGTCATATTTTACTTTTAGAATATCATATAATCTTTTTCTTTACATTTCTTTTCCTCACCAAAAAGCAAAAAATTGTTACTTTTAACTTTTTTTTAAATAAAAATAATTGATTTTTAAGATTTATAATTAAAAAAATAAATATAATTTCTTAAAAATGATTAATATACAAAAGAATTAATTAATATTAAAATACTCATTACTTAAAATAAAAATTAGATAAAAAAATAGAAAACTAAAATAAAGTTCTTATATATATGTCTCATAATCGATTTAGTACTTATATCTTTATTTTTATTCAATTAAGTCCCCAAAACCGGTAATCGTTTTAATCGTATTCGATTTAACTCTTTTACCCGATAAACAGGTCATCAAACTTTCAAAAATTACAATTTTGTCCCAAATTTCAAAATTTATTACAAATTTGGTCCAAAATTTACACTTTTGGCACACAATTTAGTTTTAATTACAAATTTAGTCGAAAATTTACCCTTTTGGCCCAAATTTTAGAAATTTGTTATGAATTCATCATAACTTTAGTTTTTTTACAACTATTTTCTCAAAATTTTGTTTCAAATATGTTTTTTTCTTTATAAAATCATATTTATACAAAAAAAAATTCACATAAAAAGTCTTACATTTTCTATATAAAATTTTTTTTAAAAGAACTTTTTTGTATACGAAATACTAATTTATAAAAATAAGTATTTAGTAAGTACATAAATATATACAAATCTATTTTCATACATGTATTTTACAAAATAAAATGTATACAAACACTTATATATAGGAGTAGGATCATTTGAATACACCTAAAAGGTTGAGAACGCGAGCACAAATCTTAACCATTTAAAATCTTAAATCTAGGGTTAACATTAATGTGTCTTCTATATAAAAAATGAAAGTAATGTAACTGATTTGTAACTTTTAAATGGGTTGAAGGGGATTTAGGGCATTTCCTTTTTTTTCTTCCATAAATCCAGTCGTTGAATATGAAATCTCTCTCTCTCTCTCTCTCTCTCTCTCTCTCTCTCTCTCTCTCTCTCTCTCTCTCTCTCTCTTTCTCAAAATTAGGTTTCCTATCATCATCTAACTAAACCTCCACCGTCAACAATTCTATCGACATCTACATTAGAAGGCAACCACATCAGTAGAATAAAATCACAATTAACGTATTCACCAGTAATCGGACCTCACTTTAATACTAATCCCAAAGACCGACCAACACCAGAAAAGGCGTTAATGTCATGTAGGTGTGTGTTTGTCTCGAAGACTTTTTAGAACTAAAGAATCTAATGCTTAATAGCAATATTCTGGTGAACCCTTGACTCCTACAACATCTCTGTCCACCGCATCGAACCCATCACCACAATACAGCTCCGAAATTATTGGATCCGTGCAGACAACCAAATCTTGTGAAGTCGTACAATAGCGGTGGTCAACCACCGCCACTATGAGATGTAAGGTAAATCATCGTTTCTAAACCTTCCAATAGAAGAAAAAAGAAGCAAGGGAAATGTCATCGTTTCTTAAACACCCATGTCATTTTTTTATAGTTTTTTTTAAACTTACCTGTAATTCTAACAATGGATTTGGGTGATGTATTTGCATTTCTATCCACTTTTTTTTAATCGGAGGATCTATGTCTCCATTTTAGATCAATTAAGGAGTTCTCAATAATCTCACTGTATTTCCCTTTCTTTTTCTGACATTGGCTCTTGCTTTCTTTGTTTATCAGACGAAGATAATCAATATAATATGGTGTTAATACCAAATGTCGTTGTGAATATCCTGAAAACTCTTATATGTATATTCGTTATATTTATTTATGATTACAGTCACAATCCTAAATGAATGTATAGTAGTATAGTATATGGGTTTATATTCTATTTAGTTATGATTATAATTACAATTTTAAATGATTAAAATATATACGTCTTATATGGGTTTTCATTTCTTTTGTTTAGATATGTTAATTGTTTATACTGGTTTTGATTTATTTTTTTTAATTTATTAACTGTTTATATGAGTTTTGTCTATTTTTTTTTTGTTTTAGGTTTAAATTTATATGTGGTTACCAGACAACATTCAGAATTTTCGGTGAGACGGTTAAGCCTACAACAAGTGATGGACAAGAAATTGGTGGTAAAGATGAAAGACAAGGTGTCAAATTTGTTAAGTATCATTGAAATTGGTTACACAAGCACGTGGATTTTACCAGATGTACGTTGGGCGTACATGACTTGGTCTTAAACCCTAATTTAGGGTCTTAGACCCTATTTAAAGGCCTTAACTCATTCTTAAAACCTCTTATACTTAGCCTCCATCCCATTTAACCCTAAGTTCGAAACCCTAGCCTCTCTTGTGTGAACTTTAAGCCTTGGTGTGTTTTTTTTGTGTGCTTTGGAGAAGAAGAGATATTGTAAGAAGCATTGCTTGGCTTGGAGCTTGTGGATATAAGCTCTAGTCATCGTTATCAACTTCATCAACTTCCAGGAGGTATAAAGCTTCTAACTTGATGACTCTATGTGTTAGATCTAGTATAGGGCTTGTTTTGGGTTTATTATGGTCCCTAGAGTCATCCTTGTGAGTATGAGCTACTCCGAGAGCTTAGAATGTTAGATCTTATAATTTCTAAGGTTTTTAGTGTACAAAAATGTCATCTTGATGGGTTTTGATGAATCATGCTAAAGTTGGTGTTCATATTATGGGTTTAGATGGATATAAACGGGTTTTGGGTCCCATTAAGACATCTAAAGGAGTAAAGTTGGCAACTTTATAGATTAAGACCGTATTTAGAGGTTAGATATAAGTTTGGACGTTTAGGTCTTGAGCATTAAGTGCTTATTGAGAGTTTTGGTCCTCTAGTGAGTACAACGGGCGTACGTATGTGTATGCTCAGCGTAATTCATAAAATTCTCGTTTTCAAGCTTTGCCGAGTTGTACCTTGTGCAGCAGCAGGCAATACGCGGGGCGTACGAATCTAGTACGCGGGTCGTACTCCTGTAATGCTCTTTTGGGCCTTTAGGCCTTAGGTGTTTTGGATTTTGGGCCATCGATTATTGGATCTGATATGGGAAGTTTAAAATGGTCTTTTACCCATTGGAATGATACAATATAGATTGGACCTTGGATTTTGGGAAGTTACCTTAATTATTGATTAGGGATATTTTGGTTGTGTTTAGTGTGAGGATCCCAATAGCAACAGCTGTGTGTTTCAGTTATCTTGGTTTAAGGTGAGTATCCTCATTGTAGCAGTGGGGTGAAGACACCAATGTCGACTCTCTAGGATTTGTTATGCTAGTTGTCTTTGTGACTCTTGCATGATATGTTGGGCTAGGCCCATCTGTATGTTGCTCTAAGCCCATGGATCAGGAAGGGCTAGACCCAATGTATATTATGTAGGATGTTAGATGCCTCTGTGACTCTTGCATTTGTATGATGGGCTAGGCCTATTGATTTGGAAGGGTTAGGCCTATTATGGTGGGTTGGGCCCAATAATTGGGCTAGGCCTAATTATATGTATGGTATGTGGTATTTTGGGGAACTCACTATGCTTTGTGCTTACAGTTTGTGGTTATGGTTTAAGGTACTTCCGGTTCGAAGGAGAAGGGTCGAGTTGATCGTAGTGCATCCACCCATGTTTCCACAACTATATGATTTTAGAATTGTACTCTGATAATTGTTTTTATTATAATATTCTTTTTAATGTTTGAAAAAAAAAAAGATAATTGTGTTTCTGGTTGAATTAAAAACGAAAGTTTTACCTTATAATTTTTGGGGCGTTACAAAAAGACCATTACATAAGTGATGTCCAAAATATAAGATTAATAAACCTGTCGCAACAAGCAAGCCATCCCACTGGTTAGGGTTAACTTCTTGTATTTAGAAATTAGTTTGAAAGTTGAAGGTTTTGAAATCGAGTGTTTTCAAAAGAGGTAATGATTTATAATGATAATAAACTTTACTTTATATATGAAGCTGTTTGGTAGAACCTTGATTTTTAAAATGTACATTTTTAAAATGATGATTGGTTGGAACCTGTACATTATTGTGTTGATTGATATAAATTACCATTTTATTCTTTTATATTATTTTATGATGAGCTCAATGTTTATATTTTATAAATTAACTTAACCAACTTCTTGAATAAATACAATAACCATATAAAAAATAACCATATGTATTTAATGGAAGCAATGGTTATATAATTTACTCACATTTCTACCTAGAGTTGAAACAAAAAGCGTTTCCATTAGGGACTCCAAAACATTTACTTCATTTAGATTTTAAAACCCCCAAAACTCCATTTCAAGTTGCCACATCATTTGAGCCATGGATTGGGCATGCGTTCATTTGAACCATGGCCCATGGATTAAACAAAGTAACAATTTGGGAAATCAAATTACGTTCAAAATCTGAAGAACTTACAAGTAGGGATGAGATTTAAAACCGGAAAACCAGACCGGAACCGGAACCGAACCGGAACCGGACCCGTTAGAACCGGAATATATAGAACCGGGTCCGGTTCCGGGTTTAAAAATTGGCTTTATCCGGGTTCCGGGTAATCCGGGTTTGGGTCCATTGGGTCCGGGTAAACCGGGTCTAAAATCCGGAACCGGTTTTTGGAACCGGAACCACTTTTTGTGAAACGTTTACAAGATGTATATCTTATTCGTTTCAACTCCAATTGACATACAGTTTTTTCCAACATGTAGTTTAGAGTTTGTACATGATTCTAGACTATAAATTTTTCATTTTTAGTTTTATATTCATTGACTTACAGTCCTCAAAAGTTGAGATACCAAAGCTGAAAGTTTTTAGTTTTTTAGTTTTTTTGTATTCGGTGAAAGTTTTAAAGCATGCATATCTAATTCGTTTGAAGTCGGATTGACATGTGGTTTTTTTCCAACTTCTAGTTTACAGTTTGTGCATGAGTTTAGACTATAATTTTGTCATTTTTGGTTTAACATTCAATGATTTACAGTCCTCCGAAGTCGGGATATCAAAACTGAAAATGTTTTTGTACTTTGTATTATGTGAAAATATTAACACATGTATATCTCATTCGTTTAAATTCGGATTGACATGCGGGTTTTTCCAGAGTGTATTTTAGACTTTGTACATGATTTTGGACTCTAATTTTGTTAATTGTGGTTTCGTATTCAATAAGTTACAGCCCCCCAAAGTGGAGATATCAATATGAAAATTTTCAAAGTTCAACCCACTAAGTTGTAAGTAATTACCAAAAATTCCGGTTTTTTCGGGTTTTTCGGGTCTAAACCCACTTTATCCGGTTCCAACCTACCCACTTTGATGTTTCCGGGTTTTCCGGTTCTAGACCCACTTTACCCAGAACTAGGGATGTCAACGGGACCAAACGGGAGCGGGAATAGCTGCCCCCGCTCCCGCCCCCGAAATCAATTGTTGCCCCCGCTCCCGGTCCCGCCCTGACTCCCTCGTTTACATATCCCCCGGTCCCGCTCCCGGTTACCTCCATCACCCCCGGTCCCGCCCCCGTTCCCCCGGTTCCCCCGCTTAAAATTCGTTTTTTTTGCTAAACGACTATTTTGTGTTAGGCTAAAAAGTTTGTTTTTAATTACTTTAAAAGTTTAAAACATAATCTTTTAGAAACTAAACAATTAAAAATTCAACATTACGAATTCAATATTACAAAACGACAATTCCATCAATCTTAAAAATATAAAATATGACAAATCCAATATTACAAATATAAAATACTTACATATCCAAAAATATATGATCAATTCACTACCTCTTCAATATCTATTAATTGAAAACGGGAAAGTGAAACCTAACCTACACTTAAAATTAGAAAATCTATTTTGTATATGTATTTTATATTAAATATATAATTTTTACATAAATGTACAACCGGGGCCCCGCGGGAGTACGGGACGGGAATACCAACTCCCGCTCCCGGTCCCGAAAATAAGCGGGGTTTAATTTTGCCCCCGATCCCACTCCCGCTCCCGGTTTTTTTAAAAATTTAGTCCCATACGGGATCGGGGTCCCACGGGAGCGGGGTTCCACGGGGGTTTTTGACATCCCTACCCAGAACCATACCCGGAACCGAACCGGAACCGGTTCCTATATACCGGTCCGGTTTCCGATTCTATAAAATCTCGTTAACCAGTTCCGGGTTTTCCGGATCCGGGTTTGGACCCACTTTCATCCCTACTTACAAGTACATATTTTTTTGTCGGAAATATCACTCTGAAATTTCATTTTGGTCAGAAAATGTGCTTTTGATAATACATAAAGCTAGTCCGGAACATTTAAATGGACTTCGAAATACGGTGTTTTTAATTTGATGAATACTTTGATAAATGAAAAAAAAATGGTTATTAACTTTGATCCTAAAAAATCATACGGTCATTTTTGTTAATATCCCTTTTTATTTTTCATAACTATAATATAATATTTTTATACTTATTAAATTATTGCTCTTACATAAAAGTTTCACTCCGCTCGACATCACTCATTAATTTGTTGAATGTTGACCGTTAACAACCAATCTTTTTTTTTTTTTTTTTTTTCGAAAGGGAACTTCCCTAACGAGGGTTTTCGGACCAGCTTTCGCGCACCGATTAATTTCCCGCTGCAAACATAAAGTTTTGTCTCATGCCCTGGAGTCACTGCAGGCGAACCTCCATAGCCACAAGGGTTGAGTGGTGTCAGGATTTGAACATGAGTCAATAGGTTATCCACCATATCTTTCACATATCTTACCAAATCACTACAACCCAAGTGGTTTTTTTTCTCATATGTGTAACATGTATATGATGCATCCTTAATAATACCTTATCATCTTTTTTCATTCATATAAGATCCAAGACATGGTTCGATTATGTAGGCATACAACATAATTGTAGAAGACTAGAGGTCCATCTCAAGGAAGATAATCCGTTTCCTAAATATCGGTTCATGAATGCTAATTTGATTTTGTGAATGCATTTCCTAGCAAAATACTATCAATTATCGGTGTGTTTATGTAGAGAGAATGATAACATTGACCTATATCTGAAAATTAAACAATTATTTCTAAAGCAATTGAATCCATGTAGATATAATGTTTTAGCGGACGTTCCTCATAATTTTGAACGAAAATATTTTAAAGTAAATATACAATCCAAAAAAATAATTTTCCTTAGTAGAAAAATTACAACACTGAAAAAACACCCAACAATAAAAATAATATATTGTAAAAACATGAAAACCAGGATCTCGTAAAATAAATGTATGCCCACTGCCCACAAAATGCATATATTAGCATAAAAATTAGCAATTTCGAAGAGTTTGAATGAAATATTGACTCGTGAAAATATATAAAACCACGGTTATCTTCTTAATCTAATACTTCAATACTGAATATAAAAACAAATTAACCAGTAAAAGAATATTAACTAGTAAATAAACAAATTGGGCTTCAATATAACTGGACCTTGCTTTGAGTATGGCCTATACTATAGTCGTAGACCTAGGCATGCACAAACCGGTTCATTTTTTAAACCGAACCGGTTCTTTAAACCGGTTCGGTTCACTCCCTAGCCAAGCAAAACCGGTTCAGCCTCAAACCGGTTCGGTTCAAACTGGTTCACTCAAAAAATTAGTCGAACCTATCTACACCGGTTCAATCGATTCTAAACCGGCTCGGTTCGGTTCCATACCAGTTCCAAACCGATTCACCTGATATAAATCGGTTCTAAACCGGTTTCAACGACTAAAATCTCGAATGGGTGTAAACCGGTTCGGTTCACTGTGGACCGGTTCATGAAACCACTAAAAATTCGAATGGGTGTAAACCGGTTCGGTTCAGCATAAACCGGTTTACTGGTTCTTTGACCGGTTCGGATCTTGAATCTATCTATTTATCCAACCTTTGGGTAAATTTTCAAACTCAAAACCCTCTATTTTAGTAACTTCTTTTTCTATATATTAGACATTAAATTAATTTATACTTTTTCTATCAAGTTACCATATTATGGACCACCATATCCACCAAAACATGCATTTATAGTTTTTCTATGTGGGAACAAATTACCATATTATGGACCACCATATCCACCAAACGTGCAATCATTAAAAAGCAGCTTTTCAATTGAACAAAAAACAGCCAAGCTATCAATGTTTACAAGCATGGATTCTACCTTTTGATTGATGTATGCATATCACTAACTTCAAATCTTACAACTTACAACTTACAACACTTATAGTGCCCTACCACCCCACCCATGCTCACTTGAGTTATATTCCAATTTCCATGGACCCTATTCAAAACTTTGTGTTTGTTACCCTACACCTGATACAAAATCATACAATCCATTTTCAATGACAAGGGTATTTGTGTCTTTTTACACATGAAAGATCAATAACTAAGTATAAAATTGTTACTCTTTTTGGGAGGGACAAAAAGCTTCGATTTTTGTTAATTGACATCAATTGCGGTTCTAGTTCTGATTATTACCCGATGAACATAACATATTCTAAAATGCAAATGTTTAAATTGTTAAAACTTTCTCTAATTGTGTAACAATCATCCACATTACATCTTACTCGACTTTTAAACAATAAGCAAACATTATTTCCGTTCACAAAATAAAAAGCAATAAATATTTATATATTTATAAACCAAATAAACAAAAAACAATCGTGACACTATACTTATACTATCATAACAATCCATTAATGTTTCACTTTCCACCCTTAATTTGAAGTTTTCCCATCTCACCATCCACCTTGTCAATCCCGGATTCCGGAGTTTTGTTTAGCCACGGATGCTTCAAACACTGCTCGGCTGTCGGTCGGTTTTCGGGTGCAAAATCAAGAATCGGAATCAAGAAATCGGCAAATTCGCGGGCATCATTCACCGATAATTTGAATTTGTCAGAAAGTAACCGATTTAGAGGCGTATTTTTTATTCTACGGATTCTTTTTAGGTCACCATATCGGTCAAAATACTCTTTGGATCGAAGTCCTCCGACTGCTATCTGGTTTTACACGTTAAAAAAATATAAATTTAGTTAATAGAAGGAATGGAATCCGTGAAAGGAACTGGAATCTGAAAGAATCCTTATCTTTCGCATGTTTGGTTGGCAGGAAAAATGGAATGTAACTTAACAAGAAAAATTAGATGAGTTTTGGATTCAATTTCATTCGCTTGCCAACCAAATGCCTCACGGAATGGAATCTCACATTCCAATTCCTTTGGAATCTCCGATTCAAACAAGTTGAGAACGATTACATGGATTCTAATACGGTTTTTACCTTTCGGGGTATCTTTCCAAGCAATTCCATCATCAATGCAAGGTGATCCTGCACACACACACACAATCAATTACAATTTCCAACAATGTATTTTTAATCTTTTTTTTTATTAAGACATTGTACTTTGAAAAATCTACCCAATTATAGCAATAATACAAATCCAAAAACAAAGCAACTTTCATTACTATAAACATAATTGGGTAGTTTTTTCAAAGTATAATAATGTCCTAATAAGAAAAACTCAAAGTAGGTTGCTATAAATATAACAAAATAAATAAATATAAAAGTACGCTGCTATTTCTTACTATGGAATTCAAAATACCTCATCTTCGCTAAACCCTTGTCCTGGTTTGGGAGCAAACATCATCTCCCCGGTAGCAAGCTCAAACGCGGTACACGCAAACGACCACATATCAACTGCAAACGAATACCCGGACTGCAAAACCACCTCCGGAGCTCTGTACTGTCTCGTCTGTATCTCCTCCGCCATCGGTGCACTCGCCCAACACGCGTTCCCAAAATCAACAACTTTACACCTAAAATCAATCCCATCAACACATCTTTCCGCTTTTTCCGCTTTTACCCCTCCCATCGATATCCTTCTCGCAGATATCCTCGCGACCGCCCTTTTCGCCCGTTGCTTTAACTTCTTCTCAATGGCATTAAGCGCCACCCCACCGTTCACATTCCCCTCTACCTTGTTCAACACGGGCTCAGTTTTTGACTTGATGGGGTCTTTTGAAGGGTTAATTGTGGAAATTAGGAGGATGTTTTCGGGTTTTAGGTCAGTGTGGAGGATGTTGAGTTCACGGTGGATGTAATCGAGTGCAGTTAGTATGCATTTGCAAATTTCGCGGACTTTGTTTAAAGGAAGGCCTTTGTAACGATTGTATCGGATTAATTGGAGAATACTGTCGCCGAGAAACTCGAGGACCATGCACAGGTGTTGACCGTTTGGACCTGTGTGTTTGAAATGGTCAAGTAATCTTATAACACATTTTTTGTTTTCAGGGTCGTTTTCGGTAAGTGTGGATAGGACTTGGATTTCGTGGAGGGCGGATTGGGCAAATTCGGGTGCGCTTTTTTGGATCTTGAGTGCAACGTATTTCTACAAGATGGGAAAAGATTTAGGTTAGAATGGTTTTGTTGATTTGTTTATTATAGTGTTTTACTTTTATTTTCCTATTATAGAAATGTCATCGAAATATAAAACATTTTGAGTGCTATAATTGGGTAGATTTGTTGAGGTAATAAGGAAAAGAATGGAAGTACGATGTTGTAATAGAAAGATTTGGATGTAGGACGTTATAATAAGTAAATAAATGGAAGTATTTTGCTATTTCTTGAACTTAGCCCTAATATAATTGATAAGTTGGGAACATATGAATCGCATTTACTATCATTTATTTGTTTATTATAGCATCTTACTCTCATTGGGGAGACTTTCCTAAATGCAATGCCTTTGTAAGAAAAAATTGGAAGTATTGCATTTAGCCCTAATATAAATGATAAGAATCATAGGTGAGAAAATGACATGATCATAGATTTTTAGATGATAAAGGAATATCAATGTATTTGGCTTACGACTAAATATTATTTCAGACATTAAAATCAGGGGTTAAATGTGCATGCACTCATGCAACAACTTCTCACCTTTTCCCAATTTATTTAACAAAGTGTGTTTTAGAAAAAAAATATATATATATATATATATATATTATATATATATATATATATATATATATATATATGTAAGCACTTTTCTTTCTAGGATCAAAATATGCAACATTTAAACAAAGAATCGGTTACCTAATGACGTGACACCCATACATTTTTGCAAAAATGTTTCATTTTTTACCCTATTATTAATTTTTTTTTTTTTACCAATTTACGCAAATGACATGAATTATGAGACCATGTTTTAATGGGTTAGACCGGTAACAGGTAAAATATCCTATGGATCACCTTTCCTTCATACCAAATTTCTTTTAGGGGTTGAGTAGATATACTTTGAACTATTGAAATTATTGCAAGCTCATGATATATAAAAATATGAATCAAATTCTTGAACCTTATGAATCCTCTCGATCTTAAACTAAAGTTTCCATAAAGATTTCTACTTTCTGGCTCTTATGCTAAACGCATGATCTGTTACACATAATAGGACACAAAACAAGTTGTACTGTGTTTAGACTTTAGAGTGCATTGGATGACAATGGAACAAAATATTGCAATTTTTGTCCTACCCAAAAAGGTGAAACAAGGATGGACATTGACATAGACTCACCCTCTTATCTCAATCTCTCGTCTGTGCAAAAGACGTGAGTGCCCTCCTCTTCATCATCATCCAAAATAGCCCTAGAAAGCTTGTCCAACTATGCTTGTTTAAGATTGAAGAAAGTCTAAATCTTGCTACATAGATGTATAACTTAATACCCTAAGTAGGTAAAAGTATACTTTAGTTCTTGATTAAGAACCAAATGAACTCCAATCAAGAACACACATCTGATATTAGTCTAAATTTCTCAGATTAAGTAGCATTTACTCGAATCAAATGCAACAGCCATGAAGGGAAAGAAGTAAAATCATAAGGAAAACATTCTAATTACAGATGCAGATCAAAAATAATAATTTTTACTTTGGAAATAACGAATGATCTACATTTTGTAACCGTTAATAAAAGGATTACATCCTATACGGAGTTCTACAGGAAGTTATAAACTCGTTTGCAATAACGAATGATCATTAGGTTAAAAAAAATTAAAAAACACATCGATCACAGATTAAGGAGCAAAAATTGGTATGTGATCGAGCAGAAAATGGAAAAACTTACAGATGTTTGGGTATCATAAGCAAGCCAAACGGTGGAGAACTGTCCCCATCCGAGTTTCCGTTGAGCGACGTATCGACCGCCGGAGAACGTATCGCCGACTCTAACTGCGTGGTAGCCTCCTTTCCTGTAGCAATCCAAGTCCTCATCTTCCTCCTCCGACCCAGATGACGATGAACACGACATGATTAATTTTAATTGATTGATCGATGGGCTGATCTGCAATATACAGTTGATCGAAGAAACGATTCAAAGAATTTGAAGTTCCTTTCTGTTTGTTAGGATAAATTTGAGAGGAATGCGTCCAGATGGTTGAGAAATTTGGGAAAAAAGGTTGATTTTGGGAAGAAGGAAGAGAGAGAGAGAGAGAGATGGAGATAGTTGATTGTTATAGTAGGTCTGTGTGGCCTTTCATACAAGGCTCTCTCCACATTTCACTCTTTTTTCTTCTTTGTTTTCTTCTTTTTTCCTTTCCCTTTTCAGCCTCAATTATTCTTTCTCTCTTCAAATCTCTCCATCAAGAAAATATCAAGTGCCAACTAAATATCAACTAATATAAGATAGGTTTATCATGTAGTGGTTAACTGATAGTAGTAAACTATTTTGTAATCAAAAGTTAAATTTGTGGATTTTATTTGTATAAAATTGTTTGAGAGATTTTATTTGTGTAGAATTGTTTGGTAATAGTAACAGTAAAATTTTGAAAAATATAAGTTAATATAAAAAAAAATTTAAAAACTTTCAAAAACTACTTAAAAGCAGTTTTTGGATTATTAACATTTTATTTTAAAATAAAACTTTAAGATCATATTTTTCAATGAAGTTTTTCTTTAATTCTTTTATTTTAAAGTTTGTTGTGAAACACGTTCATACTATAGGAAAGTAAATCATAACATCATAAATAGAAAAAGTTTTTTTTCTAGGTTTTAATTTAAATCTTTATGAGTTCCCGTATATTTATAAGTATGGCTGTTTGTAAAATGATAAAAAAACTGAAATTAAGTTGTATCCAAAAGCCTATATTGAAAAAAAATTTTAAGAAAATCAGAAATTTTTTGTTAGATTGGTCTTTTTATAATAAAAAATTAATCAAACCATATCTTAATACAATGCCATCTTTATAAAATATATATATTTAGTTCATCACTTGAGAATTTTATATAAAATTTTATTGTTTCAAAATGGTGTTATTTGCTTTAGTTTTATATATAAATTATTAGAATGTTTTTGTTACTATATATATTGCAAAATTCAACAAGTGTTTTATTTCTTGTGTTTTTAGTTTTGATTCTAAAAATTTTATGCATTCGATTTCATATTTAGAAACCAAATTATTCAAATGATATCATTTACTTTTTTTTTAACCAAAATATCTATTACAACCAATGTTTTTGTTCGGTTCTATATTTTCTTTAAACCAGTTACTGTGTTAAGTAGTATTTTTTTTTCTTAGAACATTTATATTTATTTGGGTTTAACACAAAAACAATATTATTATTATTATTATTATTATTATTATTATTATTATTATTATTATTATTTTGACGTGTTAGGATTGTTTATTTAAAGAGTAAATTAAACGAATGGTCCCTATGGTTTAGGGTAATTTGTGCGTTTGATCTCTAACTTATTTTTTAACTCGGAAAATATCTAGTATTTGTTTTTGTTATACGTTTGATCTCTGTTGTTTGTTTTTGTTACACGTTTGATCCCTCTCTTACCTAAACAAACTATTATTTCAATGGAGAAATATGGTGGGGTAGGTAAGGTAATGTGAGGGGGTATGGTTAGGGGTCTGTTTATTTAAATAAACTAAAAAATCAAGGGTAAAATATTTTTTTTGGTAAGACTGAGACCAAATGCGTAACAAAAACAAATAGTAGGGACCTTCCGAATTAAAAAATAAAATAAGTTACGAACCAAACACGCAAATTACCCTAAACCATAGGGAACATTCGTGTAATTTACTCTTAATTAAATTGCTTATTAACTTATTCAGGTTGTACCAAAAAATGATATTTTATTTAAATAAAAGATTTTTATATGTTTCTTTCACTTATTTGAAATTGTTTATTGAAAATCAATTTAATGAATTTATTAATTTAACCTTGTTTTCGCCCTTAAAAGTATTGTATATAAATCAATAGCCTTATTTTTATCTTTTTTTTTAACTAATAGTTGAGTGATGGATATTGACAACATGTTAAGACTCTTATCACATTAAAAATGTATCATCTCACATACAATGTCACCTATGGTGTTATTACATATAAAAATGTATCACCTCACATGCAATGTCACTCATGGTATTGTTACATCAATTGAGTAAATTGACAACATATTATAACATGTTATAACGCTCACTTTTTTTTATGTCATCATTTTTTCGATTTATGTTTTAATATTTGTAAAAAGAAATATAATTAATAAAAATGTTATTTAAATAAATCTTAAATTAAACATAACTTTTAAATACTAAAAATAACATTACAAGAAAAAAATTACGAAATCCTAATTTAAAAACATAAAACGATAGTCCTATTTAAAAACAAAAACGATGGTCATAATCCAAATATCTTTTCCGGATCTTCTCCTTCATCATTCGAAACACTTCCAAATCTCAGGGCGCTAAATCTTCATCGGTAGTCTGAAAATTTGTCAAAGGTTTTGTTGTATATTTGAGTTTTGTTGCATGTAAGGTGATGTAGGAAACTGCATTGCATAGGGGTGAAGTGGGATTAAAATAGCTTCATTGGAATGGTATTTGTGGTGAGTTTTGAGTGTTGAGTAGATTCATGTAGTTCTTATACTGTGCAAATCTGATCGGAGCGATTATGTTTGCTTGTGCGTTTGTGTTTGGTGGATGAGTGTTTTGGCTTTGTTCGGTTGAAAAGGGGATTGATTTTTTAAACAGTGGGAGAAAAAAATGAATGTTATAGGTAAAAATGTTGTGTATATGTGTGTTTATATGTAAAAGTTAACAGATAATTTTTCGTTTTTTATTTTATTTTTATTTTAAGCGTTTGATAATAGTTATTTTGACCATCAAATGAAAAAAATCGCTTTGCAGGTAGTTGTACAGATAACGTTGGATAACATAATGGGCCCGCGCCGGGGGGGGGGGGGGGGGGGGGTTCCTCTCGTTACCATGTCGTTAAGACAGCTCTACATAAGCAATAACGGCCGATAACGTGCCCACACCGTGCACTCTAACATCATCTCCAACTTCTATTTTTGTCACTATATTTTATTTATAGAGTGTAAAATAAAATAAAGGCAATCATCCCAATTTTATTTTACATTTTACAAATAGAGAAATAAAGATGTTATAAAATTGAAATGAAAATTATACAATCTTTATACACTTTATTTTTAGAATGCAAAAGAAGAGTTTAGAGTGGTTCAAATGAACCATTTTAAACTTTATTTTACATAAAAATAATCGTCTGATGGGAGATGATCTTAAAAATTCTTTTTGGACTTTTTACCACATGCAAACAATTATAAAACACAAAAAGGGGAAAAAGCAATTTATTACATTTGGTATAGATAAGTTATAAACTATTTTCTTTTAAATTCCGTTTTAGTGATGCATAAGCTAACAACATTTTTAGAACATAAGCAATCCCAAACACCTTTACTTTTAACTTAAAACGATATATTTTTTAAGTTAGTGTTTTTCAAATGAATAAAAACTACTAATATCTATATGTAAATGGTTTACGTCATTACGATTTGTTTTAGAATTATTAAACCTACAGATTGATTTACTTTTTGCCCCATTATTTAATATTTACAATCCAACCTAACCTGATGCACACGCCAATAGTAATGTGCAAGTGATACATGTTGAAGCTCTTATAAAATAATATTATGCACTCTTGTGAAGGGTGGTTGATAATGATGACGTGGAATATAAGATATTAAATTCATGGTTTAATTTGTAGTGCCATTTATGGTTTGGCCATGAGATGAAACTTTATGTATTGAGTAACATGATAATATATCATTTTTATTTTTCATTAATGGCCTATTTAATGAGTGCACTACTTATATAGAGAATGAAAAACAAAAAAAAATTATTTCATTTTCCTTTTGGTTTTCAATGAGTGTACTACTTATCGCTAATGAGTAATAAGTTATAATGCGGGTTAAGAAAAAAGAGATAAAAGAGATTAAATGAGTGGAGTGGAGTGTTTCTCTTCTTATATTTTTAACTTGCTTAATACTTTGTATTTGTTATATTTCTTTTGTCGCCGACTAGTTACTTGTTAAATTGGCCTTTTGTATATATCATTTGTCTTTTTCATAAAAAAAATTATAATGTTTTTTTTTGTCATTATTGTTTTATTTTTATTATCATTTTTTTAATATTGATTTTATAATGTGTGTAACACATTTTGATATAAAGGGAGGGGGGGTTAGATTATGGTGGTTATATACTACTTACCACATTTAAGGTATGTTAATCGACATAAACCCTTCTTTACAAGGAAGAAATCAATAGAAATCATAATATTGGCCAATGGGATACACACTTAATATCATAAAATAACGTTTCCTCATATACCCTTATTAGATAATAATCTAGAATTATATTCAAATTTTCTTGGTGGAAATCTCATATGTTGGAGTGCCAATAAACAACCTACTGTTTCCCGATCAAGTTGTGAGTTAGAGTATCGAGCTATGGCAAACACAGTAGTTGAAATAGTTTGGATCACTCACCTCTTAGTTGAACTTCATGTTGTTCCTCCAAATTGGCCTAAACTGCTATGTGATAATAAAAGTGCCATGTTCATGACTCGGAATCTCGTTTCTCACAAACGTGCCAAACACATTGACCTAGAGATCATTTTGTTAGGGAACTTGTGGCTTTTGGTAAACTTTATGAAACATCCCAAAAATACGGTCCAAACATTTTGTTTTTAAATCGTTATTAAAACCATGAATATCATCAACATATAAACATCATAAACCATGTATCTCAAAAATAACATAACAACTGTCAAAGTATCAAAATCAGAGTGAAATATCCCAAGCTAGAAAATTATGGCGTGTGTCATGCGATCATCCCGAGCCCTTCGTTTTGTTAGCAGAAGTGCCTAAAACCAAAAACTGAAAACCGTAAGCATGAAGGTTAGTGAGCTCCCCCAAACTACCACATACCATACAATAAACACATAATAGCATATACTAGGCCATGCCCACTGCATCGGTCCCCGCCCGGCACTGGACCGAAGTCCAGTATACATATATCATAACAACAAACACATAACCAGGGACGGACGCAGGGTTTTACAGTAGGGGTTGCACGGGAGAGTTAGGGATTGCACAGTCGTAGAAAAAATAAATTTTTTGAAAATTTTTGAAAATTTTTCCACTACCGCCGGAAAAGTTAGGGGTTGCCGGTGCCACCATGGACCACCCCTAGGTCCACCCCTGCACATAACACATAAATATATAACATATAAAGCTTCCTCGGTCTTGCCCCGACATCGAACTGAAGTTCGGAACACATAACA